GCCCCCGCAGTCGCAACAATGAGAAGGGCACGGGCGGGGGGAGGGGGTGAGGTGAGGAGTGGGCAAAGGCGAAGGGTCGGCGAAGGGACTGCCGCCACACACACACCACTCTGCACTGGAAATACCATCTGCTTCTTGGCACGCGCCTGAGTGTTGTGGGTTTGTCTAGGCGCTCGGGCCGTAAAGGGCCATAGCGGCCGACGGCCGGAGCGAGTGGGCAAGAGCGCAAATAAACTTCGATGCGCCGTGCCGAATGAAACACCCTGTTACATAGGTGAAAACTTTAGAGGTACACAAGAGTACAAGGAGTCTTCAATGTGTGAGCTATCGTTATTGATTCCGGTTCCCAACCTCGTCAATTACACAAAAGTTCGAGGGGGCAATAACTCCGGGAATCATGTGTACACTCACCTGGAAATCATCAGGTTAACAATTTATCGAAATCAACAGAAATCGCTTAGACTAAGCGGAAAACTAGTGGAACTGATACAAACAAGTCGTAATAAGAGTTTTCTACCACTAGGAAACCTAAGGGAAAGAAGCGGACGGGAATCACTGGGAATCGGGCATTTCGGGAATCATGTGTACACATCAAAAGGGAGTTATTTCCCCCTCGCAAAAGTTGATCGAATTATTGTGAATGCGCAGCAGTGTTGCGGGTTTGCCTACCCAATTCGCCCGTAAGGCGCCATGGCTCCTGCAGCCCTGGCGGGTATGCAATCCCGCAACACTGCTGCGCATTCACAGTTTTACACCCGGTACATAGAAGAAAAAAAAAGGCTGTGGCCGGGTGCCAAATACGTCGCGAACGTCATCCAACCCCAAACACATTTCGGATGAAAACACTTTTCATTGTTTTTAGTTTACGCGGACAAAACGTGTCAAAATGATGGGCAACGTTTCGCAAGGTGGGCGTTTCCGTAAAAGTATCGCAACCTGTCCGAGACAGTAGGAGGAAATAAAGTGCAGGCGGGGGAGAGAGGGGGAGAGAGAGAGAGAGAAAGAGCGTGGTAAGGC